GGCGGGGTGGTAGATGTGATGACGACAATATTGGTATTATGGTTAGTAGGTGGGTGGTAGTGTGATAGGTAGTTGTAGATGTGACGACAACAATAATGGCATGATGGTAGGTTTAGGGTTGGGTTAAGTGGGGTTGGGAGGCGATTATGACAGTGACAGAATTGGTGTTGTGGTGGAAGGGTTATGGGTGGGGGCATGACGATGACAGTAGTTCTATGGTCGTGGTAGAGGTAGGGTTGGGAGATATTGGTCAAAAATTGGATGGAATTCAATTCCTTCACTTATGCAAAATAATGATAAATTCATTAATTTGTGGAATTCAAAGGATTCTACATTTTCAGTATGTGAACAAAAGAAAGGAATTTAAACCAATTCTCGTAAGGATTTTAGGGATTCTTTTAGTTGATATAGGTTCAAAATATTCTCTGAAATTTTCTTCAATCGAAGAATATCAGGATTTTGAGGACTTTTTGGTTGAAAAAAAAAAGGATGAAGGGAAAGAGAGGATAAATTCCTTCAAATTTGGAGAACCGTGTAAAAATGATTGTTAATAGAGTTTTTTTATTATTATTCCAACCAATAAGAATCAGTGAAATTAAATTTTAAGATAAAAGAAATAATATTTTATTGAATTTATGGAATATTTCAAAAATATAACTAATGTTATAATCTCTAAAACAAAGAAGTTGTTAGAGTCAAATATAAACTTTTTAAAGATTTTGATGTTTGATTCTTCAGATAATTTTTAAAAGAATTGAAAAATCTGTTGGAAATGCTCTAAGTATCATCTCCATTTTAAGGAAATCGGATGCTTTCAATGCTTATACAGTGAAACATCATGGTACACCTTGAAGCAATCAGGATGCTTGTTTCATGTAGAGCTATCAAATGCTCCAACGGTCCACATATAGCCGACTGAAAGAAATTCAATGTTGTGAAGTTAAACCCGACATTCACAACCAAACATCTCATCATGCTTTTCTTTTGTACTTGTTCTAACTCGTTCATTAAATTAAATAGAATTGTTGACATTCATCATCATTGAGATCGGGGTAAGTAGTTATTGGTCGAAATTCACAATTTTTATTTTTTCTTATATATATATATATATATATATATATATATATATATATATATATATATAAGGGGTGGATAAAAAGCAAACCAATTCATTTTATACAAACCGAGTTATTTATACAAACCGTGAAAACTTTATTCAATCAATCATAATTTTTTTTTAATTATAAGGGTTGATTAGTCATTTTTATTGTAGAGGATGTTAATTATGGACATCATCATCTTAATTCTATTAATTTTAGTAAACAAATTTCATTAAAATGAGAAATACATGAAACAATGTGATTTTTACATGGAAACAAAAATATCTGAAACAATTTCATCATATTAAACAATGTCATGAATTTGTTTCACTAACTTAAACATTGAAATCGATGGTTTTCACGATTTGTATGAATGGTTTGGTTTGCATATTATCTCTTCCCTACGTATAGAATGTTTACATAGTGGAAGGTTTAAATAAGAAAGCTAAATATCGTGATTAAGTATGAATGGAAAACTAATGTGTAAGGTTCATATGTAAATCACTGGAAAAAACCCGAGAAAAAAATCTATTTAAAGATGCATATTTGAACCAATGTTACAAATTATTCATATGAGTTCACATATGAACTTTCAAATGAATTTTTTTTAGTGATTCACATATGAATTTTCAAATTGATTTTTTTAATGATTCACATATGAATATTTTTTTTTCTTACCCTCTCACGATAGTTAGCTTCCTTATTTAAACCGGTCCTATCTACATATTTGAACAATATTGCTCTGTGCCAAAATCGAACAAAGATACTTCCTGAATTTGAGATTTCCATTGACATCCACACTTTGTAAAAGGGATCCTTATGTTGCTGTGATGTTCTTGATTATACATTTTCTCCAGATACTATGAATTATATGTCATCTACAGAGTAATCATTTAGCATCCAAAAATATAAAATTACATTCTTTCATCATAGTCAACTCTCTAGTTGTGGCAATAATTTGTTTGTTGACTTTAAACATTGTATAGTTGGATTTATTTTTTGTTGCATATAAAAACAAATGAGATGCAAATTATCATATCAGTTGAATTTATGCCAACAATCCCAAGAAGAGGCACTTTACTTTTGTTAATTTTATATGCTATGTTAGACGAACTTTTTTTTCCTGTTAATCGTGGGTGTTAACTGTGGAGACCGGTTTGCACGCAGCTTTCGATTAATCTCATGGGCCATAAAGAACAGGTAGAAAAATCCCAAATAGCCTTGGAAAGACTATGATGACCACTGAAAACAGTCTCAAAGGTTCAAGCCCCATTGCCATTGAGCCCTCAAGGTTAGACAACACTGGGGGAGGTAAAGATGTAAATTGATATCTTTAAGAATCTTTTTCAACAACGTTTCAACATGATAATCATTTAGAATGTAAATTAGGGATAAGAAGCATAAAAACACCATTGTTTAGAGTCGTCCACCAACTTCGCTAATTCATTTTTCTATATGTTGATCAGTATAAGGTAAACTTAGTGGTGATAGTTCATATTTTGGGTATATAATCAAAATTTTATAACTCTAAATCTCATTACATAATCATTAAACATTAAAACAAAGAGTTCATATTTTGGGTTGTTATAATGATTATGGAGAGCCCTTTGAAGAACAAGCTTGGCCTCTCAACTTATATGACACTAGCAATGAAGGGGTCAAATTTCAACATTTGATCAATTTTGGATAATGTATACTATTGTTGATCCTCTCTCTCATTGATTTGTTGATAATCCCTTTTTCCTTTCGATGTATTT